TTTCCCTAAGTCCAGCTATTGATATGAATATATAAATGTTAACTCTCAAGGTTTAGATGTAGGGAAGAATTGAGGCTATTAAAGCAAAATAAAATCCTTGTAATAGTCCCTCATGAAAAGAAAATGTGAAATTGTATGCAATATAGTTTATGCATGCTATTTAATATATACTTTAATATGTTGACTAATAACTGTTAAATTCTATTAGGACCATTGAACAGCTTAAACACCAGAAGAATCTGCCATATAATTAGACTTCCTTCTTTCTTCCTTCTTTCCCTTTCTTACTTTCTTCCTCCATTAACAAGATGGAACATTTTGAATCGAATACCACAAGTTCTTTGTAACAAAATTGGTACGTACTGTGTGAAGCAGAAACATAGGGAGTCTCCAGCTTATGAAGGTATAATCTCAAAAGTTATTTGAATAAATAGGTTGAAACTCATATCACATTTCCCATGGAAACAACACTGTAAGGCAAAGTAAACTCAGACCACTTCACAAAGGACTCATTAATTCCATGATATACTTTAAACATTGTATTGTACCAAAAGTATAGTCAGACGTTGCCCATAATGTTCCTAGGGAGAATGGTTTTATAGTTCTAAGTGTGATGCCAGGAACATCTCTGCTGCTTCAAGTTGGTTAGAGATACCCTTATCACTCCTGAACAGTGAAAAGAGAGAAAAAAAATTAGCTTCTCTAGTTGGCTTCCCTCATGCCCTAGGATCGAGATGCCAGCAGGCTGAGTGGGAATGTCATTTAGGTGAATTTGAAATAAGTTGCTGAGCCCACCTGTTAAAAAACATTTTTGCAACTAGCCGGATTCCTGCCCAGGCTGTTTCTTTCCTTCCTTAAGCCTCCATAATGGACCTTTCTGCTTCATTTTCTGTTTGCTCCTCCTGTTGGTTCTGGCTGGCTTTTGTCTTCCTCCAGCGGACTGCTGCCCAGATCCAAAGAACCAGTGATTTTCTCCATTTCCCAGTCCTTGAAGCATTCCCAGATTATTGAGGTTTTCTAAAGGCTTTCACTGTTAACACCAAAGGAAAAATAAAACAAAACTCCATCCTGTGCCACCATGGGAACCAGACCCTGCTATACTGGCATTTGGTCCTCCAAATGAGGGGTGAAATCTTCAAAAGTAATGTGAGGGGCTAGAAAGATGAGGATAGACACTAGCAAGCTCGAGGTATGTTAAAAAAGGAAATAAAATTGTATTCTGAATTCCTCCTTCTGCTGGCTAGCACCTGCCACCAGTTTTGCTATGTAGCCCACTGTGGAGGGCATAGATCTGGGTGGGAAGCCGCCTGAGATAGTGGCAGTTTTGATGGAGGAGCGAGGGAGTGAAAGAAAATGAAGGGAGCCGGTCACAGGCAACTAGCAGAGAAGGAAGAAAGCCGAAATGGAGAAAGAAAGCCCAAGTGAGGGCAGGAGACTTCTTCTGGCCAGTTTTTAATGTAAAATGTAGCATGTAAGTTGACTACTGCATGTGCATTTAGATGAAGTCTTTCATATTGCTAAGCTTAAACACTGATTATACAAAAAGGAGTTAATTGTGACATTTTATTCCAAACTTTAATTTATTCACTTGTCATGATTAAATTTCTGATTTTCTTTACATTGAAACAAGAACATTTTTTCCTTATTCATTTCTCTTTTCCTAGTAGTATGTCATTATGTGCAAAGAACACTGTCATAATAAAGTTACCGTCCTTGCATTCTTATAAGCTGGGGGCCAAAGGAAAAACATTTGTGAAGATGCTCTTTTGAAGTAATTTTAAAACGTACAATTTAATAGTCTGCAGCTTCCCTCAATGTCAGCACACAAATAACATGACTGATATTCTAGTGTTTGATTTCTGTCTCTGTGAGGGAAGTATGTCTTATCTGAAAGAAAAATAAGATTTAAGTTATCTTTTTCATGGTTTTATATTTATTATTTTCACAATCAAAAGAAAAAGAGTGTGATCTTTATAGGTGGCATGGTGATCATAGTACAGTTGATTACTACGAGGCTCACTTCATGTACACAGCAGGATTAGGTCAGCAGAATTAAGAAGCCAGGGTTTTCTGCAAACCAAGAGCTTTTCCCTAACTTGACAATGTATGCAGGTAAGGCTGGATGGACTGCTTTCTACCTTACACTAAGGCAACATATACTGCTTTACCTTTACACTGGGGCATGCCAATTTCAGCACCTCTCTCTGTTGCTGCTCAAAACCAAAATAGTATTTGATTGCAAAGAGAAAGCAAAAGTTGGTGTGATGAGAAAAACTATTCTTTTTAAACTTGATATTCTTTGTTTAGTCCAAAAACCAAGTAGAAAGGAAAGAAAAAAAGAAAAATGCATAGAGAATGATTGTAAATGCTAGAGCTTCTGCCATTTATAGCTACTTCCAAATTCTGAAATAACATAGAGGTCATCTCTAGGTTAACAGGTTTTAAGTCAACTAAAGCCAACAAATGCTTACCAAAGGGGTAGAATAGAATGAAACAAAAAAAGAGAAGTTTTTTTGTATCCTATGATTGAATCTGAAAATATATAGAATGTCAAGGAAAGTCTGTTCTAAGCCAATTTTCTTCTTTTTTTTTTTTGAATTTTTAAAATAGGAGTTAATATATTACCCTTTCTTTTACTCTAGTACTGCTTTAAAAAAAATCTAAGTCTTCGGAGAAGACTGTTTTTCTGAACATGGTCAAGTCAGGATTTGATTACACTTTGGGCATGACTTGGATTTGCATAAAAGGAGTTCCTTTAGTTAAGCTGGTTCTCTGTATGAATAACTCAGAGAAATGCTGGATGACTGGGCGGGATCAGTGGTATTGCCTGTGGCTCCGTGCCTTAGTTAACAGTGAAAAGAGAACTCATTTTCAAGGAACCAAGTCAATGACCTTGATTTTATTAGTGCACCTTCCTTTCCTAATATCCTACTAAGCACATTTATAAAATTTGTGTCAAGACTTGTCCTGTTTTATTTTGTTGACTTGTTTTTCATTTTCTTTTCCCTATTAGATTTTCATGCAGCACTTTCCCAAAACCCCTTTCTGGGACTGTACTGCTCGTGACCATATTTGCCAAAGGACTCTCCTCTAAATTCCCTGATTTTGTTGTTTTACGTATTTAATAAACTTATTGAAAAATGAGCATCTTAGGTGGGAAATAGAATTTCAAAGGATGTCATTGTAAAACCCAAAGTGTATAACATTAAAATCTGTATCTTTGTATGATTTCCAATATAAAGCAATAAAATGAAACTTTACTATTTGTGTCCATGTCATGTCCAAGTTGCCATTGAAAAGTAACGAATTCTAATTCCTTATTTGGTAAATTGGAAGCCTAAATCAAACAGGAAATGAATATCACATACCAAATATTTCAATCATTTTTTCTTTCTTTTAAAATGAGCTCTGGCAAACCAAGTATTTTGTATAGATGTTGTTGTCCACATTTATCCACTAACAATTTTCTATTATGTAAGGCCATATCAATAAGTGTACCTGTGTTGATATTTCAGTTTTCACCTAATATATTTTAAACAAAATTGATGATTTTTAATTCATTAGTAACTTTAACTATTAAAAAAGCTATTTGTTGAACCTTACGAAATGGTGCATTTACAGTTGTTTTTCTTTCAAGTTACTACATTTGCTGTTGTTTTGTTTTTTATAAACACTTTTCATCAAATGGGCAGTTTAAAAAATACAGCTAAAAAAAATACAGCTAATTAAATGAAATACAAGAATGAGACAAGAAATGTCAACATGGATATACTTTACTGTTGAAAACATTTTGATAAGTATTGAAACCTTGCTCTCGCCCTAGTGCCGTAAAACAGCTTTTCCTTCCATTTCTTACCTGATGCCAAGCCCGGTGTCTCAAACAGTACTTGAATTGCCTAATAGATACTAATAATATTTTAAATTCCATACCCTTACATTGATTATGTGTAGGAAAGCCATACCCTTACATTGATTATGTGTAGGAAAGACATACAAAATCTGATTGTATATATGTGTGTGTTTGTATATACATATATGGGAATATACTTAAATAAATATATAAAAATATGTAAATATTGTGGATATATGGAAATATAAGGGAAAGTTCACCCAATATTATCATTATCTTAACTACATTCATATTCTCACCCTAAACAGAAGCACAAAGTGAATAAATCATGATATACTTTGCCTAAAGGACAGCTGCTCTTGTACTCATTACTCTCTACTTAACATTTTTGAAAGATAGCATTTAAAAAATTATAATAAACCATCGTCATCTGTGATAAAATATGAACACACTATAAACAAACTAAATAAATGGTAGATTTTAGGTGCATAAATTTATGTTGCGATTTTTTTAAGGAAAGAAATTGAAGTATTAGAAATATTTAAAGGCCATTATAGTAAATCGATTACATAGTTGGTAGAACAGGCATACCTTTAAGTGAAATGTCATGGCTTTTTGCAATGAACTTTCTTTCGTCCAAGTAAGTCCAAGTCAGAATTTAGAAATAGAATCTTTTAGAATTGTTATTTTAAGAAAAGCTGTAAAAATAATTGCCTAGGGCAACCATGCCAGCAACATGTAAGAATTATGTTTGCTTTACACAGGGCAGTGAAAGCCTTTTGAACACTCCTTGCTCAGTACACAGCAGTATTACTGAAATTTCGTCTCATATTCTTTAAATGCTGCCAATGGGAGGGAACCTGCTTTCCTGTGATTGTGTTTTCTCCTTTGAATGGGAGCGATGGAGCACTTGCATGATGTGTTTGGTGCCTTGCATGAAAAAGACATGCAAAGGCAAGGTCCAGTCTGCATGCTGCTTAATGAATGTTTTTCCTTTTCTCTCCCTCCTTGTCATGTGCTTTCAGAAGACAACAATGTGGAAGGTGGGTGCTTTGTACTTTATTTTCCAATGCTCATTTGCCTTTTATTTCTTAGTATTAATAGAGTACATCTCGAATGTAGAAGGTAAGTTGAACTTCTTTCTGAGTATTTGCTGATTTCTGGATTGTGTATCATTTTTCATATAGAACACACACACTCTCAACTCCATCAGCCCCAAGTATATGAAACGCCTTCAACCTTAACTCCAGCCTTTGATGGACTTCAGCATCCCATATGAACCTTAGAATACTTATTTCAGTGTTCTGCATGGAAAAATGACACAATCCTGCTTCTTTTATTTTAAATGAGAAAGTATTTCTTTGCAGTTTCTGAACACAGTGCATGATTCTTTCTCCATTTTTTTTTCTTGGTCAAAATGATTTCTTTGGGAAATGTTGAGCATTACATCATCTCTAGCCCATTGGTCTAGTTTCAAATGATTTGATTTATAAAAAGAACGCAAAATAAAGTACTGACTATAATTAAGACGCATAAGTTTAGATTAAAAATAAGCCATTGGCCAGTGGAAATGAAAGCATACAGCACTCCAGCGTGATTACTGGTAAGTATATTTGTAATATTCTGTGTCTGTTAAATAAAATTATGGTATTTGTTTAAGGTTTTCTAAAGTTATCTCTATCAAGGAATTTTGAGAAAGTTACACATTTTTCCTGTAGAATCCAACAAACTAAAACATATTTCAACATTCTTTTAAAATTTTTTTAAAGATTTTTATCAAAATATAGTTGATTTTCCATGTTGTGTTAGTTTCATATTTTAACATTCTTACCTTTAAAGAACTTAGTCCATGTGCTGCCAAAGAAATATGTAAAGGATAAAAATACAAAAAGAACTACGAAGAACAAAGTATTATGAAAGAGAAGTTGATGTCCTATCAACGTACATAATCACAGCATTAACAGTTCTTGCATAAACAACGTACTGGTATCTATATCAGAAGAAAGTGTTTAGCATATTCTATTTTGTTACAAGGTTTTGAAATATAGCCATTTATAATGTTCATTTCTACACAATGATGGATTCCCTAGAAAAAGAGTCCCCATCTAATGTTACAGATAAATAACCATTAAAGTTACTAAGATTTGATGTCTCAAAGAGCAATTCATGATAATACAAAGTTGATGAGTAACAGGTTTCAACATATTATTTGTGATTCTTTCATGGATTCTTTCAATTGCTTAGTTGCTAAACATTTCTGTTTCATTATTTAAGTAAAATAGATTAAAACTTTAAAAGAAATCATCAGTGACTATTTTTCCAAGTGTTGCATCTGTATATGGCTTTTTTTTTCTATACTATAATTTAAATAGCATGTGAGTGTGTACTTGGAAAAGATATTTCCCTGCAGGTCTGACTGACATCTTTCAAAATCAGTCTCATTTATAATTGTGCATGTTATTTGAGATCAAAAGGTTTTTTTTAAAGTATCTTTTTGACTTCTTTTGCATTTCCTTAACCATCCTGTAAAATGTTCCATGTTTCTGCTCTTTTCTCTTTAAATCCAGTTGCATTCCAAGGAGCTTTAAAATCACCTTAATAAGCATGAATGCCCCTGTCCTTACACACACTCATCCCATGAAAAATTTTGACAAGATTTTCAGAGTATAGGCTCATAAACTATTGTAATAAAGTTTATTCAGTCATAATTTTTAACATTCCTATTTATAACTCCACTTTGGCAATATAGTCTAGGTCCCTTAGAGGTAGAAAGTATAGCATGAACAATGTTAATGCTTTTGAGATTTAAAAATTTCCATTCTCACTAAGGTGGTATTAAAAACCGTTGAGGAATCTAAAAATTATATCTTGTACAGAGATATTTCCCTGATTTATCAATAGTTTACAAAAAAGTTATAAACTTTTATTAGGAAATATGTATAGTAATATTTAAAGTGAAATTAAATGAAAAATTATATAACCTGGACAGATAAGCCACTATTCTTAAGCATAGAAGATATCATGAATCACCAACAGGTCATAAACCTTTTAAACTGATTGTATGTTTTTTTGGGGGGGGGCGGTTTAAAATCACTTAGAAAATACAAAAGAACCTAGATTTCAGAAACTTTAAAGTACTATGTTAAATAATTTTTATATTGTGATTATATGATGATTTTAATTGTATCTGCCCCACAGGAAGGTTTAAATACCCCTTTTAAGGAAATGATACAGATTATTTCAATACTGATGCAAGTAATACACAATGTTATGTAGCTCAAAGTCTCAAATATATTTGAACTAACAGTGGGAAATGAAATACACATTTTATTAAATTTGTATGTATGCTATATTTCTTTGACATTATCCCATATTCTTGAAATATACAGGGATTGAAGAGTAACTTAATTTCTGAATTTAGAATAAAGAACTAGGAATTAATGCTAAAAAGTAAGTCGTATCTTCTTGGACAGTGAAATTTTTTTTAAAGAACATTGCTAGTATTCTTTAGAAAAGTGGTGATCTTAATCTGAAATTGTCAAGCAAGAGTTAAAAAATAATTTAAATAAAGGGAATTCAGTATTGTTTCAGAAAACTTCCTTGATGAAATTATATCTTAAATATACTCATGTTAACTCATAGTTTAGTATTTAAGTAATGCTTAAGTAAAATACTGAATAATTTTTTTCTCCATGGGAAATTACTTAACCCTATTTAAAGGTGATCCATTGTTTCTTAAAAACATTATTCTATAGTAAATTCAAACTTTACACCTGCATGTCTGATGATCTTTTTTGTATTTGAACAAGCTTATTCGATTGCTACATGTGTCAGACAAGGAGACATTTCTGCATTATCATTTCAGTGTGACTAAGGATGTGGTTTTTTTTTTTTCATTTAATTATGAAACTTCTATTTTTTTGATGAGGGGAAAAAGATCAGACCCAGCCCATGTTTCAGGTATTCTTTTGGGTTTTTTAAAATATAATTTCATCACCAAAGAATGGCAGTCCCTGTGGGGGCAGTGTTCAAAACAGTCTCATCAAAGGGCACGAAGGGCAAGTGCAATATTTAAGGGATTGGTTGGATTTTAAGTCATGCTCTTACGCTCTTGAATGTTCCAACTGATACATAGAAGAAATACACGGTGCAGCATATGCAAGTGTTTAAATTGCAGTTCTATAACTCTTTGCCCCAAAGCATTCCAACCAGGAGTTGAAAGAATGCTTTTTGATTTGCCTCTATGATACAGACATGTCTCATAGGAAACAAGATGTCTGTCACTGAACATTTTTGTCACTGTGACAACTCTGCCTTCCCATGCTCCCTTGTTTATTGCTGACTGTGCTCTTGTTTCCCTTCAAGGTCTGGCGCACCTGATGATGGGCGACCAAGGTATGGGCTCTGTTCCTTTTCCACTCTGCTTTCAGTGTTTTCTTGTTCTGTAGCTGCTTTCAAACCATCACTGCAAAGGATGGGCAAATGCTTGCAAATTATCTGGCTGCAAATTAAATACATAATTTTTGTTCACATTTTTTCATGTGTTTCTCTCCCCTTTGTTGGTTTGATATTGGTTTGCTCCTTTGATTTTATTTTCCTTTATTCTTTGCACTATAATATCTGCAAATAAATAAGACATAAGAACTTGTAATTGAAAGTTTTCATACATTTATCAGCATATGCAGTTAAGGGTAGTTATAGTAAAGGAAAACCGAGAACCATCATAAGTTAACATATGAAAAAAGATATTTGGTTTAATGTACTGCACCAAAAAGAGTCCATTTTTCACCCATGCATGTCAGTTTGGGAACATGCAGACATCTTTGGCTTCTGGCTTCTCGAATGCTGAGTATAGTGTTCTATGAAATCAAAACGTTTTCTACCTATAAGCATTGTGTATCTCCTTTTGTGTAGTCTTTTAAAGTGAGCATGGGCTTTCTAATTTCTTTGCATGTATTGCCTTAAAAAAGGCAGATTTCTCAACATGTACTGATTGTATCTCCATTTGTTTTCAAATCCTATTTATACCTTCTTGTATATTTAATTTTCAAAGAGTAGTGCATATACATATATTCATAATTCTTACTGTTGTTTCTCTCCTCTTATTCTTTTTGTATGGAAATCCTTTCTTCATGGAACCATTTCATCAAATCCATAGGTAAAAGTAAAGGTATTACATTATTTTATTTCTTCTTAATATCATCTATATGAATAACAGTGCGTCTATATGAATAACATTATTTTATTTCTTCTTAATATCATCTATATGAATAACAGTGTGAATAACATTTGCAAAATACATTTTTCAAATGTATTTAGACCTTTTGGCATTAATAATGGGCACTGGGAGGTAGGTATGAGTGCTAATGAGTATTTTATGAATTTAAGGTAAGAAAAATCCATCAAAATGTTTCCCTTTGTTTTTTTCTTGCTCTTTAGAGTGACTTTTTTTTCGTGTCAGCTGCTAGTATAATTAGCATATTTAGAAATTAGTGACAGGTTTCAGTGTCAGTTTTTGCAGTATCGTTTGATGGTAGTTAAATGATGAGTGTAACCACCAGAAATATATCATCCTCAAACATTTAACTCTGGAGCGCACCTGCCCCAGCCATTCTGCCTAGGGATGTAAGTCTAAGCATGTGCAGCATTGAAATGGTGCTGCTCTGGGCTCATCAGCTTGTGGTCTGCTAGATGTCATATATACACATTGACTCCATGATAACCTGCAAAGGCAGTGTCCTGAAAGAGACAAAGGAGCAAGACGAGCCTGCTCTCTCTTTTGTGCATATACTAACTTTGTTTTAAGAACATTATCAACTCAGGTTTACATTTCTGCATCACTTGGTAAGTCAGGCATGTGTACTCTTTGACAGTATTGGTGCCAAATTTAAAAGCATGCTTAGTTTGCCATTTAGAACCATCCACGTTGTGTTTAGTGTTTTCATTAAAAGAAAGTAGATGATATGCAACTGTGGTAAATATGTGTCATAGCCTTTAAATTAACCATTTTTAACTATGTATTGGTGAATGTGCCCTTGGTCTCTAGTTTTGTTTTATTTTGTTTTTTTGGCTTTTGTTGTTGTTGTTATTTTAAACACAGGCATGTGTTTCCTTGAATTCTCTGAATCTTTCTTTTGCTCTGAATCTTAATCTGGTGAATTGAGACCAAAGCTCACAGTTCTGCACCTTTACATTAGTGTCGTCTAGCAGGGAAACTTTTCTGTTTGAAAAAGCACCGAACATGGGCAGAGCAATAAGTAAGAAATGATATCAAAGTTTTAAATGTGTAACATAGAGCTTTAGAAACAAATGTTTGGATACTTTGAGCCAATAAAAAGAGAACATATGCTATTGCAGTTTGTGTTTTGGTCAACCATTTCCAATAATATAATTTAATCTTATTTTAAGCCTTTAGCAACTATGCAATGACAGTATGTATCAATTCTTTTAGAGATTTTGTGTACAATTTGGGATACTTTCTAGACTTTTTTTTTTGAGGCCAAATTACCATTACTTTCCTTTCTTAAGTGGGCATTTTCCACCATGTTCCTTAGTGTAGGACTCAGGATGGCATAGAGGGAACTGTATTTATATTCTATTTTACTGGCTGAGTGAAGTAAATGTCTATGTGTTTGTATATGTGCATGTTTGTATTTGTATGAATGCATGTGTATACACAAACTTTCTAAATATACGCACACATATATACCCATTATGTTGTGAAAAAAGTAACTCATAAAATAATATGCTAATTATATAGCCATTAACTCTACATATGGAATAATTCATGTTTAAACTTAGCTGATATTCATTTCAGTGTAATTAATGTTAAGTGTCACTTAACTTTACTCAGTTTTACTATGTCAGTCTTAAATGTTTTCTGTTGGCATGTGTGTCAAACATATGTTTACCAGTTTTCATCAAATTTTATTCCTCAATCAGCACAAAACTACACAGGACAAGAATTTGGTGTTTCCTTTGCATTCTTCTGTTAATAGGACCAGGATGCTTCTTGGTGTTAAATGGGGAAAGAAGACTTTAAGATGGACTTGGGTATTTTGCAAGTCAAAGTGATCCCCTTTACATGCTGGTTAATTATGTGTATAGAAATGAGAAACATGATTTATAAGTCTTCATTAATTGCAAATTAGTTCAACAAATCTGCATTCTAGAGCAAAAAATACAATCTTGACTATGATGTAGCATCCATATTCAATGAGTGTCAATAAAATAGGGAATGAAAACATGTGAGTAAGTTAGTTTAAATGACAGAAATGGAAGTGCTAGGAGAGTGGTTATAAAGTGTGATCAGTGATAGGCATTCAGAAAAGATAAAGATAACATGAATCAGGATCTCCCTTAGGAAGATATCCTTGCCTTGTGCCACCTGTTGGAGGAGTCAAAAATGTCTAGAAACTTGACAGTGTGGATTCTTGTGTCAGGTTAAATCCTAGTTGTGCATAAAATATGTGTTAAACCTACCTACTCTAAAACAACTGATATGCATTGTAAATTCATGCTTCTCAAGTCTTCCCATCAAATTATAATCCTGGAGCATTTTTCTTGACACCACTTTTCTCTTTAGGAGTAGTGAATTCAGGTGCTCTGCAATGATCATCTGTGGATTAAAGTCTTCCTTTGTTGAATCCAGAAGCAAAACTAGGTTCAAGAACATTATTGCTATCATTTTGATTTATCCTGTATGGATTCTCAAGTATTTTCTGAATTTTTAAATGTCCAATGATAGACAAATGTATTTCATTTTAAAAGTACATTTAAAAAAAAAAGAACATTTATTCTGATAACCTTCTTCATCCTCCTCCCCAGGCTTCTCTCTAGAGGTAAGCACTGGTGTCACTTGATGATGTATCCTTACAGAGTTGGTGTGGATCCTTCCATACTCCATAGTTAACTGTTCAGGGTTTGAAACCTGCAGAATTCCTTACCATATTACATGACAAAAACAGATAAGTCTGCTGGAGACATGTTAAGGCTCATTGCTATGTGCTGGCAGAATCATAATGAATGAAATGGAAACTTTCTCACTCTGTAGACCATCATGCCTCATATTTTCATTTGATCATTCTGTTTCAAATTTTAGAGTTGATTATTTGGATTTGTTTTCATGTTTTCTAAGCAAGGATGTGTCACCTTTAATTGGTCACAGGTAGGAGTAAACTTTGCTTTCTTTGGGATAGCTGAAGAGAGATAGTATTCAGGGCCAACCTTACTTCTGTTGGTTGTGGCTAGGTAGATTCAAGTGGTCTTTGTGACATTGTGTTTACTTTTTTTTTAGGTTTGAAATTTGTCATGGGTGTTGTTAGGACTATTGATAATACTAACTTTATTCTCCACTCTATTTAGAATTTAGATTTATCTATTTGCCTGGGGAATTTAGTATTTTGTTTTTGTCTTTTTCTATGTATGTTTAACTGGTCACTTCATTCCAACAATTATTTACTTGTATTTTACTCTAATGTTTGAAAGAAATGAATGACCATTTAAATAAGAAAACGTCAAAGAAAGTTATATCAAATAACTGCAAATCCAGCCATCCTGGCTGGTTAATAGCTTGGGAGCACAGGTTAATAATTGTCAGTTAAATGTTGATTGAAAACCTGTATTTTCGATCATAATAATCATTATAATTGTATATATTTATGTGAGTGATTATATATTTAATGTCAGCTTTTTCCTAGTAGAATGTAAGCTCCATGTGACTTTCTTTTTTGACCATTGTATTTCCAGAATATTTTTCTTACTGTGTCTTGAATTTGCGATTCTCATGACTTAAGTATGTGTGTGTTGGGAGCATATTGGAAAAGGTAGATGTAGAGGAGGACATGGAGGGTTTGTAGTGGACATAGTAGAGGGTGGAAAAGGAAAAGGAAACTTATTCAAATAGCTAAAAAATTTTAGCAACAGATTATATTGAATCTTCTCTGTCTCTATCTCTGAACTTCTTTTGTTTCCTATCATTCATATCCTTGTCCAAAGCTGCAGTATTTCTTTCTAGTAAGACATCATTCCAGTAGCACTTTAATACGTCTTAGCCTATGCACAGCAATGGTCATGTAAGGAAATAAAGTCAGTGTATTTTTGTGTTGGAGGGTTTTCAAAAATTTTAATGTGATTCACTGTCACAGTGGCAAATAATGAAATTTTATTTTTTAACTTGATAACAAGTACAGGAATTTTCCTGAAATTCATATAAGATGATAAGCTAACTAATGTGGTTTCTATGAGGTTTTTTTTTTTTTTTTTTAAACTGTATCAACTGTGATGTATCATAAGAACTGTGTTTAAATTGGGTTAGGACTGTAAGCTTTCAATAAAGCCAAAATCTTGTGATATGAGCATATTTGCTATTCCTTGCATTTATGAATCGTACAACATATTTGCAAAGTAAGTGTCCATTTGACTCTTTCAAATGTTTAGTTTGATTGTCCAGGTTTCTCATGTTACTAGAAGGCCAAGTTATTACAACTGTCAAACATGTAATTACACATTTTAAAAGTGCCTAAACTTTATTGTATTAGTGAAAATGCAGATCTTAGAATAATTATGAAGAAAATACAGATTTTTCTTGTAATTGTGTTAATACCTCGGTACAATTGATTCCACTCAACTAATTGATAAGCAGTATCAAAGATGATGTATTTTAAAAATTTATCTGTAATGTCAAACCACAATTAATATTCTATTTACTCTTGAAGTAGATTTGATATTATTAATACTTAGAGAAGAATAACACATTTAGTATTCTTATACATTTTCTTCTGTTTCCATGATTTTTGTTACCATCTTTCATCTCTCCTGTTGCTGTGTAGCTGATTTGTTTGTGAAGTGCACAGTTTGCAGTCACCAATGTCATGATGTGTATTTGTATAACTCTGAAATACATTTTGCTGTGGTGTCTGTTGTAGAGCTAGTTTAATTTTGAAAGTGATCACATTTCTCTTCTTTTGTATATGGCTTCTTAAATCATATCTCCTCATTTAGCTTCAAAATATTAACTATTCTGCATTGTTCAGAAGCATTCGTGAATGTTGACAGAATCTTACTGTATTGGAATGCCTATGTATGGTGTATTTGCAACCAAGACATAATTTATTTTGGTTTATCTATTACGATTTCTGCTGTTGCAGTACTGGAAGCCCCTCATTCACA